CTTGGGAAAGGAATGAACTCAATGGAAATGGTAGCAAATAGATAGCCTTTGGAGACTGGCCATTGGGGAAGCCTGGCCTTGGGTTCAGAGATGTGCTTTTATCTCAGGAAGGACCTAAGTTCAAGGCAGGTGCCAAAGATAGGGGCTTTCAAATGGACCTAAACCTATTTAAGTAGTAAAGCCTCATCATGGTCAACTGGCTGTGTCCTGAATAGCTGCAAGAGCTCCACAAGATCTTGCCCTACAGCCAGCAGCCTAATGTGAGATAACAGGAGGAAAAGTTGATTCCCAGGCCTTACCAGGAGGAGAAGAAATCACAATTTGTTTGATAGCTGAATTTAAATTTCTCAGTCTCAATTTGAAATGATAAAGCTATGGTAGCTAGAGAGAGGCAAGAAGTGAGTCTCAAGCTGAAAAGCAAAGCACCTCTCCCAGCAGAAACAAACAAAAAAGCCAAGCTTTGATAAGTTATGTAAGTTATCCCATTTTCTTCTCAGCTTAGTATTTGTAAACCTGGTGCTTTTTCCAAGAGATCAGGTCTTTTTCACTGACCATGGCTGGCTCTGAACAATAGTGTCTTTCAGTTATCTGTTTCCCTTTACTCTGATCTGTGAAGCTTTTGATAGTTTCTTCATTAACCTGGGAACAAACAGCCTGAGATCTCAGTATAGATACTTAATGTCTTACTATACCTAAGGTTCCTTCTTCCTTTAGGCTAATCTCCCCTTCATACAAATGACCTGAATCCCAACTGAAATCCACGTGTTGTCTTTTTAATTATTCTATTCTCCTGTGGTGTTAATTTGGTGGAGTTTATCATTGTCTCAGATTCTGGTCTTTCACCCAGGCCTTGGTTTTCTTGGGTTGAGTCCACATCTACATAACATTGTTATTGTTGGTTCAAAACTGACATGAACTTAACCTACAATCCCAGCTTCCATACTGAGGGAACCCCAAATTGATTCTACATCACAAAGTCTGGATAATGTGGAAAGCACACTAGTTGGGAAATAAGAAGGTTCATTGTGGTCTTGCCATTCATTGACTTTGATTTTAGACAGATCCCCTTCCAGCTCTGGTCTGGCCTGTCCTGTCAGGTGGTGTGGTCCTTCTAGTGCTGCTCTCATCAGGGATAGGAAAACTATCTTCTGTGTAGTCTTAGTTGCACAGAACACTGTCTGACATGAGCTTTGGTGTGTTGGTTTCTGATTGTAAAGTCTGAGATTCTCCTCTTAGCTCTAGAGGGGGAAGGGGAACCATCCAACTGTCTCATTAGCATGGAGAAAAGAAAACAGTAATTACTTGTGCCTCCCTTGATAATTCTGCAGGGTTGGTTCTTAGGGAAGGAGGAGGGGAAAACTGGAGACAGCTTCAGCTGAGGAAGGAGAAATGTTCTTACTTAGTTCCCAGAATATGCAAAAGCAAGAATTTGCACATCTGTTGTATTCTTAGGACATTCCTCCGGGCAGGCTGGAGACTGCCTGGATTGAATTTCAATTTTTGTGACATACATTAATGTGCTTACTGTCTGACATTAAGTTACTGGCTATGCCAGGCATTCTGACATTTGCATTTGTTAAGGAGTAGGGTGGAGATTTGCTGGACCACTTTGTGACTTGGCTGAATTTTTGTTATGAGATCTTCTTGAAGCAACACAATATTTGGATTTATTATTCTATTCAAGGTTAGGTGTCTTTGTAAATGGGAGGAGTCTTGGAAAAACTGCAAGACTGTAGTGTTCTGTCAAGTCTAAGAAAAGCAGGACTCCGGAGGATTGAGGGCAGCTTTGAAAGTGGGAGGACATCTGGAACAGAATTAGCAAATTCATATGCAAGCTTGGCTGTGGACAATGACTGTTTGCTCTGTGTTAATCTTTCTTTCCCTGTGTGGGCAGTTGTGAGCCCAGAAGTACTGATTGTAGTAGAAGTGAATTGGAGAATGCCCTTTGCTGGTGAGCATTGCTGGAGGGAGCTTGGAGCTAGTAGGTTCTTCTGTTACTGTTTTCTCCTGCTGGTTGCTACTCCAGAGGGCAAGAGAACTCAGTCTCTGTCTCTGTCTCTGTCTCTGTCTGTCTCTGTCTCTGTCTCTCTCTGTCTCTGTCTCTGTCTCTCTCTCTCTCTCTCCCCTCCACTTTTCTCCCCCCTCCTTCCCCTTCCTCCTCCTCTCCACCTTCCTCCCAGGAAGATAGTTTCAGTGCCTCCTTTCAAGTAACCTTCTTTTAGACTTTGGAAGTCATTTATTGTAAACCACCAAGGGATATGTAAAGACATGTTTAAAAATTTGTTTACAAATATATAGGAAGTGATTGTTTCTGTCAGGTTTATATTCTTCTACCCCTTGAAGTATTCCCTTTCTTCCTCCTTTGGCCTTTTGCTTGATTAGTCTGCGTTTGCTGTCCAGGCTCCAGTGTTCCCTTAGCCTCTAGGTATATATTCCTGGTTTCCTTATACTTTTGTAGAATCTGTTTCCTATTTTTAGATGGAATGCTCTAAGGGAGGAGTAATTCTCTTCAGTCTTAACTTGCAGTTAATTGGGCCATAGTAATGTGGTTCCCAGGAACAGGGATAGAACACACATCCAGGACACAGTAAATGCTGATTATCAGAAAGGTCTCCATGTTATTATATAAGGTACTTTGATCAGATATTTCAGGAAAGGCCTACTTGTTAATAATCTCAACCCTTAGAATATAGTCTCCAGGGAATGGAGAAATGGCCTAGTGATTAAGTGACTGAGAATAGTTGCTACTCTGAAAAAGTAAGGCCCCTAGCACCCACATCCAGTGACTCACAACTACCTATAACTGTCACTTTAGGGGATTTGATTCTTTTGGCCTCCATGGGTACTGCACAAATTTGACATTCATTCACAAAAATCCACACAGAAACACATAAATAAATAAAAATAAATCATGCTCCTTTATAATTTTATTTTTGTGTGTTAATATTTATTTTCTTAGTTTTATTTATGCATGTCTATGTTTGTGTGAGGGAATGCCTTGTGTATGCAGGCGTCCACAGAGGGCTTGGGAGTTGCATTTGATAAGTGTTTATGAGATAGATGTCTGATGTGGGTGTTAGGAAACAAATATGTCCTATGGAAGAACGGGAAGTAAAAACTCTTAATCACTGAGTCATCTCTCTAGCCCCCAAATAAAACCAATCCTTAATTGGTGGGGTAGGGGAGTAAGATTACGCAGTGGGTAAAGGAACTTGCTATCAAGTGTGACTACCTGAGTTTAAAACCTGGGACCCACATGGTGAGAGGAGAGAGCTGACTCCTAAGTTGTCTTCTGACCCCAATATATGTACCATACATAGCATGCTCATGTGCAAGATACCTCCACTCCCACCTAAATAAGTAAATGGTTAAAAAAAAAAACAAGGATGTGGCCCAGTATGGATGGTAAAAGCCTGTGTTGTGGTTTCAAAGTGAAATGTCCCTTGTAAGTTCATGTATTTGAATACTTTGTCCTGAGCTGGTGGTGCTGTTTTAGAAGGGTGTAGACTCTTTTGGAGCTGGAGCCTACCTAGAGGAAGCAGGTGACTGTGGGACAACTTGAGGTTGTATAACCTAGTCCCATTTCCTGTCTGTCCTCTGCTTCCTGACATAGAGTGCTGTTAATGCCCTCCTCCCACTCCGTGGTGGACTATATCTCTTCTCCTTTCTAATATTGACTTACTAATTGAATTGTGTATGTATGAGTGTGTGTAGGTCAGAGGACAACCCTCTTGGTTAAGTCAGTTCTCTTCTGCCTTTTGGGTCTTTTGGATAAAAGTCAGGTGGTCAGACTCAGTAAAGTGCCTTTATCCGCGGATCCATTTTGCCAGTCCTGTACCCCTTATCTGTCTCTCTACTTTTCTTTCTTTATTTCTTAAATTTAACTTATTTTATATGTGAGAATGTTTTGCTTGCATGTATGTCTGTGTACCATGTGTGTGCCAGGTTCCTGCTTAAGTCAGAAGAGGGTTTTGGACTTGAGTTATGGATGAGTGTGTGTCACCATGTGGGTATTAGGAATTGAACCTTGGTCCTCTGCAAGAACAAGTGCTTTTAATTAACCTGAGCTTTCAGTTTCCTCTATCCCACCTTAAAGCCAAAATAGACTCTTCCTCCCATAAGTGGCTTTTTAAAAAGATTTATTTTTATTTTATGTGTGTCTTTGTCTGCATGTATGTGTGTGTATGTGCCTGGTGCCTGCAGAGGCCCGAAAAGGGCATTGGATCACCTGCAACTGGAGTCATAGGTGGTTGTAAACTGTCTTGTAGGTGGCCAAACTAAATACTGGTCCTCTGTAGGAGCAGCCAAGTGCTTTTAACTGCTGAGCTTTCTCTTAAGTGACTTTTTGTCAGGTATTTGTCACAGAAAAGTAACTAATGTACCTTTGTGATCTCCTTATATAACAATAGACTGACAGCTGGTTGGGCTGCAGAGACTTCTTTAATCCTGGTACTTGGGAGGCAGAAGCAAGCGGATCTCTGTGGGTTCAAGGCCAGCCTGGTGTGAGTTCCACAGAGAAACTCTTGAAAAATCAAAAACAAGCCAAAAAACTCTAACAGACAAACAAATAAACAAAATAACACCAAGAAAAGTGTCAAAAAAACAATAGCTGACAGCAGCATAACCAGGGTTGGGTGTGGTACATCTGTGCCCAACCAGGCTTGGAAAGTGGAGGCCGGAGGATCAGGAGGTAAGGACCATCCTTGGTTACATAATGAATTGAAACCCAGCCTGAGTTACATCAGATCCTATCTCAAAAAATAATATTTATATAATGGGTCATTACTGCTATTCTTTTAAAGAGAAAAGCCCTTGGTTTTTCCTCACTCTGCTCTTATGGCATCCTTTGAAAGGCTTCCGTGCCATTTTATCTAAAGTAGATTCTACTCTTAACTCCCTGTTTTTTATTTCATAACTGTTTAAATTTTCTTCCTAATACTCAACATGGTCTGAAATGATAGAAACCAGGATTCAAAATGACCTTCTTTCCTCTGTTACAGGTGAACCCTGATTATAGAGGAGACAGCTGCTGCTGACCCTGTGCCCCTAAGGCCGAAGTAGCTGGCTAAACTCATTCTTGGTACAGGTGAGTGAGGGTGTTCTGGCAGATTTGGCTAACCATGGTTAAGATAAAGGGTAACTGGTTTAGGAATTCTTTTCAGCCTTTGTACTGATATCTTACAATTACTATTTTTTTTCTAGGTATTGGATTATTCTAGAGATTGGATGTGAGCCTAGGTAGCTTGTTGGCCTGAGAGGAGAATTGAGGCCACTTTCTTGGAGTTGCCATAAGAATGTTTGGGATCATTTGCCAGAAAAAAAGTGCTTCCTTCTTTCTTGCTTTTGCCAGTGCTGGGGGCAAGGGTAAATCTCAGGACCTAGATCCTATATTCCCATTGGGGATCTTCTTGACCTCAGTCTCTTTGGCCTAGTAAGCCCCAGGTTAGCCTAAGGAAATCTTAAGTCTTCTCTGTTCTGCAGAATGTGATCATGAATGGGTTAGAAAGCAGTGATCCAGTAGAGCTGTGTGACTGGGTTAGAAAGCAGTGATCCAGTAGAGCTGTGTGAGTGAGTAAGGATGCAGTGATCTAATAGACCTGTGTGACTGGGTTAGAATGCAGTGATCCAGTAGAGCTGTGTGAGTGAGTAAGGATGCAGTGATCTAATAGACCTGTGTGAATAAATAGGTAAAGATGCAGTGATCCAGTAGAGCTTTGAATGGAAAGGATGCAGTGATCCAGTAGAGCTGTGTGAGTGTTAAGCAGCCCAGAGAGGAAGAGAAGGCACGACATTGAGAATGTATTATGTTAGCTCTCCCTTTATCTAAGATAACTCCATTTTATAGATGAAGAAATTGAGGCAAATAATCTAGGAACCCATAAAGCTGATCTTAGAATCAGCTCACTATGAACACCATTATGATGTGACAGACTTTTCTGGGAACTGCTTGATAGTTTCCTTGGAATTCTACTGTTTCTTTCTTAAAATTTTTCTAGAAAATTTAAGGAGCCAGCCTTCCTCAGAGATTCAAGTTATTTGAGGAACCCATCAGGACAGGGAGGAATTGGGGTTCCTTGTGATCAATGATGCAGTCAATGAGAAGGTCAGGGAGTACAAGGCAGGAAGATCTTAGTCAGGAAGTAGCTTATCTGTGACTGGGAGGAGAAGAAAATACCCTAAAATGAAGAGGTCTACGAAGTTGAGCTGACAGGAGTTACGGACCTGGACAGCTGGGTTGACATTGGGAGACAGTTTCTCTGTGTAGCCCTGGCTGTCCTGGAACTTACTCTGTAGACCAGGTTGGCTTCAAACTCCCAGAGATCTGCTTACCTGTGCCTCCTGAGTCCTGGGATTAAAGGTGTGCACCATCTTGAAATACCTGAGTTTTTAATTTCAGCGTGTCTTTGGACAGTCTTCATTCCCCCAGTTTGTAAAATTGTAACTTCCTGCTTCCCTGCAGCATTTTTTCCGTGTGTGCTAAGGACTGTACCTAGGGCATTGTATTTGCTTGGCAAGCACTCTACCACTAAGCTAAATCCCCAGTTCCCTGCCATATGTGTGTACAGCCATTCAGTAATAATGTAAAGACCCAAACAAGAAATCTAAATCAGAAAACTTTTGTGAATTAATATGTAGCATGAATGAAACCAGAAAGTGAGACCTGTTTGTTACCCTACTCCCCAAAGTCAAAAGAGAAGGTTTTTCTTAGGATGTTTCTGCTGTCTTTCCCCGAATCTTTCTCTCTTCTGTAGGACTTCCCCAGAGCAATATTTTATCATAGAGAAATGGATTCCAGGGCATAGGTGACAGAATCATTCAACACTGGCAGTTGAAGTTTGCAGCATGTGCTCTGCAGAGTTAGGTTTAAATGCACTCAGGGGCCCAGGCTTCACAGCCTCTGCTGTGGTGTAGATCTTGAAGCATCTCTTTTTAATAATCCATTTCAGAACTGACCAGCTCAGTACATAGCTTGTTTTCTGTTGCCACAGAATAGTCTACTACCACATCCACTGTTAGTGAAAGAATGGATACCTATGTTGAAGTTTCATGCCTTACTGGAGATCATCATTCCAGTTTTCCTACTGTCTTGCTTTTCTCCTCTGACCAGTGATTTAGGCTGTTTTGTTTTTCCCCTCTGTCTACTTGAAGGGGCACAGAGGAATATAATGCCCACATAGTGCTCGAGTTTTGTGTTGGCAAGTTTCAGTTGTACTCTGAATCTTCAGGTTTTTACTAATATTTTTCTGTCTTGCTGATCTAGAGTTCCAGGGATTATGATCTTTCCATGGCTTGTGTGCCAAGTTTAGAACTTACTGCTCTATGAAAACATTTCATTGTTACTTAAACATGTGAGCGGTTTCTTGTAAATAAGTGTGTAATATACAGGCAGTCTCATGGTTCCTAGAGCCCAACTGAAAAACAGAGAAGCAAACAAAACATTGCTGTCCTTAAGCCTTGCATAGTACTGATAAAAGTCTTGCTTTTTTAAACTTTTGCAGATAAAATTAAAAGCAATGAGAGGAGCTATGCTAATATTAATAACAGCTAGAGGTAAGAGGCGAAAGCTGGCAGTAATGGAAAGGATAAAAGAAAAATGATAATATACTTAAAATAATAGGCTGGAAGGCATTGAATATAGAGGTGGGTAACCGCACTACAAATAAATACCTGTGTGCTTTACTAAGATGGGGGTGGAACTTAGGGAAATAGGTAAGTTCTGTGGTTTTATCAGAAAAGTTAGTTATTTGTGGGATATACTACATTACTAGGCACATTCTGAATCTTCTATGTAAATTTATTTCATTTTCATAACAGCGCTTGGGATGTATTTGGTGATATTCTTGTTTTATAAATTACTAACACTTAGAGAAGGCACGAAGGCATTAATTGGAAGAGCTAAGCTTAGAATATAGTAGAATCTGGGTACAGAGACCTAAACCTTTTCTGTTATACTTGGGTTTGGGTTTTTAAACTGTTGTCCTTTTCAGCCTTTTGGATCAATAGCTCCCCATTTTTATTCATCCCACTATATTTCTGTTTTGAAGAAATTGTTATTAATTTACTTAGTACTTACTGGTATTTCCTATTCACCATGCATGGTTTTAGGTTTTGAGATCTAGCAGTGAATAAAATAATTTGATCTCAGCCAGGCAGTGGTGGCACACAACTTTGACCCCAGCACTGGGGAGGCAGAGGCAGGCAGATCTCTGTTGTGAGTTTCAGGACAGCCAGGACTGGTAAACAGAGAAACCCTGTCTCTGAAAACAAAAAGAAAGGAAAATAGTTTGATCTCATGGTTTACATTTTACTGGAAGAAAGCAGAAGAATGAATAAATATGAAGAAAAATAATGTAGGATAAGGGAATATGAGAACTATAGATTGAAAAAGGTCTGTCTGAGAAAATAAGGTTAGTGCAGAAGCTGAAGTGTTGAACTTTGTATATCTTGAACTAACATTCTAGGCACAAGGATTCAGCAAGGTCAGAAGTCCTGAAACAGAAGCATACTAGTTGTGTTTGAAGAAACCAAAAGTGTCCTTAGTGTCTAGAGAGGAAGTAAGCAAGGGACATTAGACTATGGAGAAGTTGTCTTAAAGATTAAGGACAAGTTATGTAAGGCTTTTGAATAGAGAAATGTTATGATTAGCTAGCTGTCTTTAAAAAAATATCCTGCAGGCGGTGATGGCATACACCTTTAATCCCAGCACTTGGGAGGCAGAGGCAGGTGGATCTCTGTGAGTTCGAGGCCAGCCTGGTTTACAGAGTGAGTTCCAGGACAGCCAGGGCTGTTATACAGAGAAACCCTGTCTCAAAAAAACAAAAAACAAAAAAACCAAATCCTCTGACCGACTACAACAGCTACTACCTCTTACTCTCTATGTAGTATGGTGTTGCAAAGAACTGGTGAGAGCGTTACCTTGTTCCAGTTCTTATTTATTTATTTTACAATGTAGTATTCAGTCTTAATTTGTTTGTGGTGGCTTACTATAAGAAAATTCCCTTTTACTCTAAGTTTATTGAGAGGTTTTATTATGACTGGTTATATTCTGTCATCAACATGGTATTATATTGATTTTCAGGTGCTAAATAAACCAAACTTGTATTCCTAGAATAAATCCCACTTTGTAGTAATGTATAATTATTTTTATGTGATACTAAATTTGATTGCATTTTTGTGGTGTCTTGACTTTCATATCAGAATAATAGTGGCCTCAAAGGCTAAATGAGAAGTAGAGTCACAGTCTGTTTTATAGTCTGAAAATTTGTAAAGAATTATATTATGCTTTAGAAGTTTGATAGAATTTACCACTGAAGCCATGTGGACATGAAATTTTCCTAAAACATCTTAAAATTACTAATTCATTATAAAAATGTTTTAGGGGTTTGTCCCTGAGTCCTCCCTACCTATCATGTCAATCACATTGTTTTCTATTGGTAGTTTGCCCTTTCCCTCTTAAATTTTTAAAAAGTATTTAGGTGCATAGGTGTATGCATGCTATTAGAAATTAGTTTGCAAAGAAAGACTACAATTATTCCAGTAAGAGTCTGAGCAAGGCAAAATTTTACTCTTGGTCTTTATCATGGGAATATACCATTTTATTTTAGCCGTTATCTTAGAACCACCACTTTGTGCAGAGAGAGTAAGTTGCTAGTTTTCCACTCTAGTCATGCTGCCCCCACACTTAAAACTAGTAGCTCATTCTCCTCTCTAGTCAATGTGCAGAATTGTTTGGAGCCTGGCTACATTCTTAACCTCCACAGAAGCAATTGGAAGAGAATTGAGATTTGAAGTTGACTATTTCTGGGTTTGAGCCCTAGGAAAACTTCTCTCTATTCTTATTCTAGGAATACAAGTTTGGTTTATTGAGCACCTTGTAAAGAGAAGCTTTTTGTTTGAGAGAAGCCTTCCCGCCAGCCTGGTTCTGGAGCCGTATCAGTCCCAAATAAACACACAGGAGGCTATATTAATTATGAAGCTGTTGGCCTTGCTTGTTTCTTACTAGCTAGCTCTGACTTAAGTAATTACCCCATAATTGTTAATCTAAGTATTTTTCTTACCGGAGAATAGTTCCGGGATTCCTACCCC